AGGGGTGGTCAAGGTGAAGCAAATAAGATAAACATTGGTAAATGGGAGACAACTCAGAGCTTCCTTTTACAATTGGCAGGTGAGTGAGCTACTAAAAGAGGTACAACTGAAGGCCAAAAGACAGAGACAGATAGACGAGGCAGTGACAGCCCTCACACAGAGGATCAAGTCCCTCAAGAAAAGTGTTGAACATGAGGTATGGAAGAATCCTGAAAGCTTTGTTTTGGATTTTCTGACCAGTCTTTTTCTTCCATGCTCTCATTATCTTCTATAATTGACAGCTACAGTCACAAAAATGGCTGAAAAATGTCCGAGTTCCAATACATCAGAACCCCCGAGGGGTGAAGGGGAGGTTCCAGTTTATCCCCCCCACAGAGGTGATGACCACGGGAAGCTACGTGAAGGGGACGTGTATCAAGCCTAACGTTACGGTGGACCTAGTACTGGTCATCCCAAAGGTAAAACATCAGATCACAAGCAGAAAATCAGATAGATAATGAAAAAAAATTATCTCATAAGGCCATAATAAAACTATTCCTAGATTCTCATCCCCGCCCGCCCCGATTTTAAACCCCCGCCTCGATTTTTTTTATTTCTGTTTTTCTTCGTCTTAATTCTGTCGGATCGGTATTCATCTATCATTCTACTTTCGTTTTAAATCCCGCGAATGTCAACATGATTTTGACAGCTGAAAAGATGGTAATTGCTGTAATACACGCGTATATATTTTAAACAAGGGTCATTGGTTGAAAAGATTGGTGATGATGTGAAGTAAGAGATAATGGAACCTTTACTATGACTTTTATTCTGGTATTGTAGATAAAATTACACCGATTGACTAGGTCAATAAAAAATCTGCAAAATTGAAAAAATAAAAAATATAAAATAAAAGCCGCACGCCCGCCCCGATTTTTAAAAAAATTCGGATGAGAATCTAGCAATTTATTTATTATGGCCTAAGTTATTTTTAATCCCAAAATTGATACCTATCTGACTCTTCCTAAAAGGTTTTGACATTCATAGAATGCAAAAGCTCTAAAGTATCTTATTTGCATCAAGAAAAGATTTTTACTTATTAAAAAGCTGAAGAATCAAAGGCAATTTCAGAGAAGTAAAAGTAGTTCAGTATTATTATATGTGAATAGAAATATTTTTGATTCACAGGTTGTCCTATTTTATGCATGATTGTATATTTACACACTTGAATTTCTTGCTTCATAGGAATCCTTTCAAGAAAAAGATTTTATGAACCACCGCTATCTCAGAAAGAGAGCAATCTATTTAGCCGTAGTTGCCAAACGGTTACAGGAAATTCACGGATTGCAGGATTTAAAGTACACTTACCACAATGGAAATTCACTTAAACCCAGCCTCATTGTCAATTATCAAGGTAATAATGCTTTACAGAGATGTTAAAGGGACATGTTTATAAAACCTTAGTGCGGAATTATTTATGAGCTCAATCCTTTCATTGCAAATTACAATAAATTTTGTATTTATGAAACAGTATTGTATTAATTGCATAAGGATAATATTCATTTTATCTAAGATTACATGCTTATTGTTTTCACTCTAAAACAGAAATCAAAGATGATCGATGTACAATACAACATGTTATTAAATAGTTCCAAAGACTGATATAAAAAGTGTTCTTATTTTTCAAAGCATCCAGATGTCGTACAAGTGTCTGTTGATGTTTTACTAATGATCTGTGTGACAAAACTGTATGTTTAATGACTTTGATGATTTTACAGGTGATGAAGGTAAACCTGTCTGTGTCAACATCTCAGCCGTACCAGAGGAGGGGGTATTTAAACTGAATCGCTTCCACATCACAAAGAATAATGTACGTCATCAGTGGTTCCTGGAGGGTGAATCCCGAGACGCAGACTCAGGTGAAATGATTGGAGAAATGTGATGAAAATAAATTCTCTATATATAATGTAAAAATCATCTCTTGCCTGTCATATAATGTTGAATCCCGGGATGCAGACTCAGGTGAAATGTTTGGAGAAATTTGATGGACATTAATTCTCTATATACATGTATAATGTAAAAATCATCTCTTGCCTGTCATATAATGTTGAATCCCGGGATGCAGACTCAGGTGAAATGTTTGGAGAAATTTAAGGGAAACAAGTTCTCTGCATATATTGTAAAGATCATCTCTTGCCTGTCTTATAATATAAAGATCTTCAGTAACCTTTCAAAAAATGATGAAAACTTCTGTTGCCTGTCTATTTTTGTACGTATCTCGTAATTTTTCTACATTTTTTAGGCGAGACAATTGCCACTCCAATCTACAACAACACAGTACTACAGGACTTAACAATGACAGAAAACACAAGCTTCCTGGAGAAAACACTGGGGAATTCACAGAGTATTAAAGATGGAATAGCTCTCCTTAAAGTCTGGCTGCGGCAGCGGGAACTCTCTATTGTACGTAACACTAAGATATTTAACTACAGTCAATTCTTGAATTATTCGATTTGATTCATCGTCATTTTCGCAATACCGCCATGATTTACCAAGAACGTTTTTCCTACTATACAAAATTCTCTTTATAACGCCAAATTCGCATACCGCCATCCGCCACCCAGTTTTCACAACAAACGTCCATTTTTAAGTGTCAATTATCTCAATATACTGCCACGGGTGCATGTGGTCAGTGAGGCGCGGCTAATTGGTTGACACTTTCCCTGTTGTAAAGCATGCAAAGGCAGACAAGGTACATGCAATTAAGTAATTACCGGGAAACAAGAATTAAACAATAATTTTTAACATGAACTGTTATAATAATTTTGTTTTCTGTTTAATAAAAATCATTTAGTCACGGATTCACCACGAAAGCAGTCATTGTTAAGTACGCCAACAACGATATCTTTTTGTATATCTCTGCTTTAAACAATGCAAAGTTTGCTGAAAAATAATCATACGGTTTAAATTGTGAATGTTTTATCAAGAATTCATTTTACATACTATCCGCAATATATCATGACTTTCGACCCAGCATGTTTATTTCAATATCAAACGTGCAGATTTACATGCATACGCAGTCATGTAATGGTGTCATGTAATGCTGTCTTTATTTCATAACTGCATATTTGTTTTAGGGAAATTGTACATTAAAAAAAGTAATTGAAGTATTTTCAATCAGAAATATGTTTTTATATACATGTACATGTAATAATAAGAATAGAAAAGCGCAAAATGGTATTTCTAAGAAGGCTAAAAGATAGGAAATTCAATTCATTGCCAAATTCGTTATACCGCAATGATTTCTAAATCACAAAAGTGGCGGTTTATCGAGAATTAACTGTATATCATCCGTACTTTGTTGGCTGTTAGCACCACGTAATTACAATCAGATAACATTAATATAATAATAAACATTTACAAAGTTTGATGTTTTCATTTCAGGGATCAGGGGGGTTTACAGGCTTTTTAATGTCAATGTTTGTGGCGTATTTAATCACTCGACATAAAGTGAATCAGTTGATGAGCAGCTACCAAGTGATGCGGAATGTCCTCTTACACCTCAGTAAATATATCATTTCTAACAAACTCCACACTGATAAATATTGATTAAAGCATATTGATAATATCTTTTTAGATATTTGATACAAGAAAAAGACATTCTTTTGGAATATAAAGGGTCATACCAAATGTGGACCTAGAGCATTTAGCATTTAAAACATATGTTAACAATCTTTTTTTATGTATTTAAACATAACATTAGCAATATTGTTGTTTAAATAAATTACTCTCCAAATTTCAGCTCAAACAGACTGGACAAAAGAACCATTGACCCTCTGTTCGACCTTTGACCCTATTGATCAGCCTGACCCTTGTTTATTTTATGAACACTTTAGTGTGGTGTTTGTGGATGTTACAGGTTATGTTAATCTGAGTTCTGATGTCAGTAGAGGGCTGTATGATAGGGTAAGTATTAAATCCCTTATTATGGGGTTCAGTATAGGATCAAAAGACACAGATAAAAACCCAAAGAATAAAGAGTCATTTATGATGACTGACTAATAAAATGTGGAGGTATCAAGCAGTAATCAAGCTCAAAAGTGTTTTGAAGCTATACAAATTGGAAACAGTGCAAAAATGGACTTATAAATACACCAGAGGTGGGATCAGGTGCCATGGAGGTGTAAGCATCTCCTGCCGACCTGTCATACTAATAGTTTGTGACAGATAAAAAAGGCCAATTATTTGCTTCCAAAACCACTTGTAATTTTTTATTTTATATTTTTTAAAAAATAAAATCTATACATTTATGCACATTCAAGAGATATTCTAATATTTCGGATACATAAAAAGGGTTATTACTATAATCACTATCTTGGGTGCAGGAATATGCTTTTACCATCCTATTTCTTTGACAGGTGAAACAAGAAGCAGACCTCGCCATTAAGTTCCTGGAGAATCATTCCTTGGACAGCTTTACTGCTCTCTTCATGACACCCGTGGATTTCCTCAGGAAGTTTGACGTCACTTTTCAGTGAGTACATTTCAAACAACAATGTAAGAATGGGAAAATATTGATAAATCATTTTACACATACCAATCTGATTAAAGTCAAATCCTTTGATCTGCTCACATAGATCGCTTCACAAGGATCTGAAACTCTATTTAGGGTCCTATCCCTGTCAACCTCTAATAAAAATATTCATTAAAATTTTGACTTATCAGAGTGTAATTCGAACATTTTTAGCTCACCTGAGCCGAAGGCTCAAGTGAGCTTTTCTGATCACATTTTGTCCGTCGTCCGTCCGTCTGTCCGTCTGTCTGTCCGTCTGTAAACTTTTCACATTTTCGACTTCTTCTCAAGAACCACTGGGCCAATTTTGACCAAACTTGGTACAAAGCATCCTTGGGTAAAGGGGAATTTAAATTGTTAAAATGAAGGGACATATCCCCTCGCAAGGGGAGATAATCAAGAAAAGACAAAAATAGGGTGGGGTCATTAAAAAATCTTCTTCTCAAGAACCACTGGGCCAGTAAAGCTGAAACTTATGTGGAGGCATCCTGGTATAGTGTAGATTCTAAATTGTTCAAATCATGACCCCCGGGGGAAGGGCGGGGCCACAATGGGGAATCAAATTTTTATATAGAAATATATAGGAAAAATCTTTGAAAATCTTCTCCTCAAGAACCACTGGGCCAGAAAAGCTGAAACTTGTGTGGAAGCATCCTGGGGTAGTGTAGATTCTAAATTGTTCTAATCATGACCCCCTGGGGAAGGGCGGGGCCACAATGGAAATATATAGGAAAAATCTTTGAAAATCTTCTTCTCAAGAACCACTGTTTTATATAGAAATTGTTCAATATATAGGAAAAATCAAAGTTTTACATAGAAATATATAGAAAAATCTTTGAAAATCTTCTTCTCAAGAACAACTGGGCCAGGAAAGGTGAAAATTATGTGGAAGCATCCTGGTATAGTGTAGATTCTAAATTGTTCAAATCATGACCCCCGGGGGAAGGGCGGGGCCACAATGGGGAATCAAAGTTTTACATAGAAATATATAGGAAAAATCTTTGAAAATCTTCTTCTCAAGAACCACTGGGCCAGAAAAGGTGAAACTTATGTGGAAGCATCCTGGTATAATGTAGATTCTAAATCGTTCAAATAATGACCCCCGGGGGATGGGTGGGGCCACAATGGGGAATCAAAGTTTTACATAGAAATATATAGGAAAAATCTTTGAAAATCTTCTTCTCAAGAACCACTGGGCCAGAAAAGGTGAAACTTATGTGGAAGCATCCTGGTATAGTGTAGATTCCAAATTGTTCAATCATGACCCCCAGGGGAAGGGGGGGCACAATGGGGTTTCAAAGTTTTATATATAGGAAAAATCTTTGAAAATCTTCTTCTCAAGAACCACTGGGCCAGAAAAGCTGAAACTTATGTGGAAGCATCCTGGTATAGTGTAGATTCTAAATTGTTCAAATAATGACACCCGGGGGAAGGGCGGGGCCACAATGGGGAATCAAAGTTTTATATAGAAATATATAAAAATCTTTGGAAAAATCTTATGAAGCAATCTTCTTCATAGAAATATATAGGAAAAATCTTTGAAAATCTTCTTCTCAGGAACCACTGGGCCAAAAAAGCTGAAACATATGTGCCAATGGAAGGATCATGGGGTAGTGTAGATTTCAAAATGTCTAAATTATGATCAGTGGGGTAATGTGGGGATGCATTATGTATAACAAGGGTGAAATTTGGTAAAGAACAGAATGGTCAAAGCTTCTCAGGTGAGCGATGTGGCCCATGGGCCTCTTGTTTTAAAGTATAGTATTGGATAATCATTTCAATCATTTTTAAGAAAGTTAAAGTACGTCATTGCTTCATAACTGTTCAAAAAGTGTATGATGAAACTTTGAAATGGTTATTCCTAATTGAAATAATTAAGAATATACAGAAATATCAAAAATATACGTGGTGTACATGCACATTTACTTTTATGAATACCTGGTACATCACATTTGACAGCAAAAAAAAATTTTTTTCAGCATCCAAAATATTTCAAAGAAAGAAGTTGAGAAATTACAGAAGGAGGACCGATACGTAGATTACGGAGGGAACTTTGTCCTGGCCCTGAAGCCAGACATCCATTCATTGTTATGTCAGGGGCTGGGAAACCGAGTGTCCGTTGTACAGTACAGGCAGTACCAGGTCCCACAGGTAATTAGCTTCTAGATAAGATGTCTCAGAGCCAAAGTTATATAGAGTTCACAGAATTCAGAATTCATCCTGAAGTCTAGTGTATATTTTGTGTGAGGATATTAGTGAAGATTTATTGCATGACAAATGATTGTTCAGAGTAATTATCAAGACTATTTATTAAATGCTTGCATTTCACAAAATCAAAATCTTTATATGTTTACAGTGGGATATCATGTGTAATCCCCCCCAGCTATGTGTTTGTAGTGGGACATCATGCTTGAATCCCAGAGCTATGAGTTTATACATAATTATGTATGTTTACAGTGGGACATCACATGTGATCCACCAAGCTATGAGTCGGCCTATCCAGTTATGGTTGGTCTGCAGTTAAACCCGGAGTGTGCCTTCAGTGTTCTGGATAAGGGACCCCCAGCGGATTCTCCAGAGGTTTGAATTACAGTTCATTTTCACCCATCCTTTCAAGAAAAGTACCTACAAATTACGACTGAAATTTTCCATCAGGACTGTCATAAATTAACCATACCATATGCAAAATGTTACTTAACATAGACTTATGTGCTCTATACACACTTTTGTTTAATAATACTGATACTCTACTACATATTGATGCTCTTTGATTGTCATGTTAGGCCAAGGACTTCAGGAGTTTTTGGGGAGAGAGGTCAGAGTTACGTCGATTTAAAGATGGCAGCGTCTGTGAGGCCGTGCCGTGGACAAAGAAGGCGGTGTTATCAGAAAAAAGAAGTGTGTGTTGTAGAATTGTACAGCACATCTTAGAGAGGTGAGGCAGATTTCACTGGAATACAGACATTTTGTCATGTATATACATGTAATCATCTGAAATGATTTTAATTAATCATTTTCATATTTCACACTGAACAAAATCAAATACAATTTCAAAATATACCTGTAAAACAAAAACTCTGATCATTATAAAATTATTTCAGCTCTTATCTTAAGTTAAGCCCATTTCGATATAGCGTCTAATAAAAATCACATCCATTTCTTTGGCAGGCATACAGGACTGAAGTCCGGTTCAGTGAAATGTTTTGTGAATCAGTTGGATCCTATGTTACAATACAATATAAACAAGAGCTCAGGTGATGTGTATGGAACAGGGGAGGAACAGCATAATGACGTTATACAGAAGTATGATGAGCTGTGTAAACTGCTGAGGAACCTCAAAGATCTGCCGTTATCTATAAACTCAATACAAGGGTCAGCACCGGTGTTTAGGTATTCTGAGGTAAGAACTCGGAGAGATCGGTCAGTGGAGAGAAGTGGACTGACGATACTCAGGGTTCATATACTGACTATGTGTAACTTAACAAAGAAACAGCCTAGTACATGTATTTAAGAGGAGAGAGTTCATTTTTAAGTTTCAATGAAATAGATTGTAAATGGAAACATTCATGTATCTGTGCTTGTTTTGAAGAGTTTTTAACACAATTATTAGTTGTAGACAAAGTTTTGCTTATAATATTTGAATGTCTTATTTCAAAACCAAATTTAAAATAAAAGGAGAAGTATAATTGTTAAGAACACATTTGTTGGCATGCATGATTTACTCTTGTGCTATCTTTATATCACTGTACAGGTATTTCCACCTTTGCCGGCTATGTGTGACAAGGCAAATAAAATGGAGAAGAACAAACGCGACCTGCCAGAGAATTACGGCAAGCGATGTCCTGACTTTGTTATGTCACTCAAAGGTAAAACTAAAACTTTATACTTATTGTCAAGGTCTGTGCTGATTACTGTAAATGTATTAAATTCAATTCAATTCATTTTATTGACAACACCATCATACATTGGCATATAGTCATGAATACAACAATTAACATACATAAAATAAAATATCAAAGAAAGCATATCAGGTTTGTTGAAGGTTTTCTTTCCTAATATCAAAGCACTTTTTCAAAAAGTTACAAACTCTCCTAGCAGTTCTAATACTTGTAGGATTGATAATGTCAATAATAGGGTTTTCCTTCATGTAACATTGTGCATTAAATATATCGCAGTATTGTAATCTACATTGATCATAACTAGGACAATAAAGTACAAAATGGTTTTCATTTTCAATAAAAAATTTACAAAAATGACATACACGTTTTTCTCTAGGAATAGGTGGCCTTGAGTATCTCCCCATTTCAATATGTAGGGTATGAGCACTAATTCTTAGTTTTGTTAGGATTGTTCTCTCAGATTTCTTCAATGGTAATTCTAGATAGTTTTGTAATTTACAGTGTATATTCATTTAAATAAATTATATTACTATAAAAAGTTAATTTTCCAGAATTTGATTTAGAAATGTTCTTTAATTGTTCACTGATCTTGTTTCTATAATGTTCCTCTAATTTATATTTTAAAGTTTTATGTGATATGTCCAATGAAGATAATGACAATTTCTGTTGTAGAGTATAAAGTTTTCTTTGCCAAGATATTCTAGACCCCAGTGTTTTATATTTATATTATATTTAGCGTGTAGAATATTTAGCGGAAAGTGATTTTCAAACAAGTTCGCGTAAATTTGATTAAGCGCATTTCTTGATATTCTTATTCATGTACTTGAATTAGCAGAAGTATCTTTCCGCCAAAAGCGCTAAAAAGAATACACCGCCAAATATAATATGTTTACAGTATATAATTGAGTCTCTTAAAAGTACAAGGCCACCAACAGAGCATGCTGACTTCTCTCTCTTGATTCTTTGTGCCATGAATGTTTCTAGTCACATGGTTGTTATAAATACTGTACAAGTACCGTATACTGTGTGTCTGTGATTGGGAATTGAAAATATTCTATAATCATGAACATTTTTGTTGTATTATTGAATAAAAGCTGCATTAGAGTTGGTTCAAATTTATGTAACAGGATTGCATGTACATGCACTTGTGTTTCAAAATTATTGTCTTTATCTTTTTAGCACTTGTTAAATATTTTACAGGAATTTTGTATTTGAAAACCAACATTTCTACAAAATTCTTCTGTCATTTTTAATTTTGAATGATTATAGATCTTAACCATTCCTATTTTTTCAGTGATTTGTCTGTTGGAGGGCAGTGGTAAGTGGCCAGAAGAGAAGAAGCCATTTAACCGACTAATGGCCGCCTTTCATATTCAGCTGGCCGAGTCTCTAAAGGCTCACTACGGGTTGGCTGTATCTGTGTATCCACGACACATTGATGTTGTCAAGGTAAACTGAATCTATCATCAGATAGGGTAGATTACTTTCAGCTGTGTATTATTTTAATCTGTATATTAAGCTTGTTTTGATATTGTTTGCTAAATGCTAATGTGCGCACTCTATTTTCAGGATAATTATGTATTCCGCATTGTTCTGGGCTACACACGTGAGATAGCTCTGAGTAAGATGATTAAGACGCCGGAAGGCATGGTGAAATACAAAGATAACGAGGAAGCTCTGGCTCTAGAGAGGGAAATACAGAGTCTACCCAGGCTCACAAGTACTCTACACGGGTAATTATACTCACAAGTTCTTTACATGGGCAATTATACTCTAATTACTTTACGTAGGTAATATACTCACAAGTACCCTACATGGGTAATTTTACTCACAAGTACTCTACACACTCACAGGTACCCTAAATGGGTAATTATATTCACAAGTGCTCTACATACTCACAAGTACTCCACATGGGTAATTATACTCACAAGTACTCTAAATGAGTAAATATACTTACAAGTACTCTACATACTCACAAGTACTCTACATGGGTAATTATACTCACAAGTACTCTACATGGGTAATTATACTCACAAGTACTCTACATGGGTAATTATACTCACAAGTACTCTACATGGGTAATTATACTCACAAGTACTCTACATACTCACAAGTACTCTTCATGGGTAATTGTACTCACAAGTACTCTACATGGTAATTATACTCACAAGTACTCAACATGGGTTATTAAACTCACAAGTACTCAACATAGGTTATTAAACTCACAAGTACTCTACATGGGAAATTTTTCTCACAGGTACTTGACATAGGTAATTATACTCACAAGTACTCAACATGGATAATTATGCGCACAAATACTCTTGGTGACTTATTATACTAATGAATACTTTTTCACTAGTACTCTTGATTGGTAATTATTCTCACAAGTAAAACATACTCATTGTGATTTTGCAGTGTTCAGCAGCTCCATGCATCGTTTAGTTCCACTGTGAGGCTGGCCAAGCGATGGGTGTGTTCCCAGCTCCTGACTGATTTTGTGTCAGAGGAAGCGATAGAAATCATCACCGCCCATCTGTACCTTCACCCCGCCCCCTACACACCTCCCAGGTAAATTTCCTAATGTTTGGTTAATACTTTTTCCTTTGATTACTGTGTGTTTCTGCAGTATTCCCATGGCTGTGAAATCTAAAGTTAATTTTTGTCCTCCTCAGCACTCCTATGGCTATGAAATGGCTGTGAAATCTTATGTTAATAAATCGTTAAATTTTTGTCCTCCTCAGCACCCCCATGGCTGGTTTCCAGAGATTCCTTTACCTGGTGGGATACCACGACTGGAAATCTAGTCCTTTACTTGTCAACCTGAATGATGAATTTACAGGTAAGGGTATCTCCAGATTAATGAAAAATGTCATCAGCTTTCTATCATAAACACTTGATTATGCTTAATATTTACCAGCCTTTTATAAGCTTGTAAGTGTTTGAAATACAAACAAAGTAAAATATCAGTTTGAATGAGTTAAACTAAGGCAAACTTTTATTATAAGCCATTGTAACTATTTTCTTGATATGTTTTGTGTTCATTGTTCATGTACCGGTAAGTGAGACAATATATTTAACTTACATGTACATTATTTTCTCTATTTATTGTCTCTAAACATTGTCTCTTTTGTCATTTCTCTGTAGATGAAGATCAAAAGGAGATTCTGTCTCGATTCCACAAGGAGCGATCGTCCCGCCCCCTGATGTTCCTCTCTACCCCGTACGATAAACATAATTCCTATTGGACGAGGAAGTCGCCCAGCGCCCCCATACTGCAGAGACTGGTTCTCCTATCTCGCCAGTCACGGAGCGTGCTCAATAAACTCATACAGGAAGCTGGAGAGGATTCTGACTTCAAGGTATTTAAGGAATGAAGCTTATTTCAACATATATTATACAATATAACATAACTTGGGGCAGTTTACGCTTTATAAACTGCGAAGCAGTTTATAAAAAAGCGTGAAGTGCCCCATGTTTTGTTATATCGTATAATATAAGTTGAAATAAGCTTTATTCCTTATAATTTAATTGCAGTGTAGGCAATGAGACAATTTTCCCCTAGAATTAGGCTTCACATTGTTTAAATTTTAAAAGTAATGTCAAGCGGAATAATAAGTTTTTAGAAGTAACTCATTATGACGTAGGCAAATTATGTTATACAAAATGGATAAAATCTTTTATCCAATCAAATGGCGTGTTACAAGTAAAATTAGATTAAAAAAAAATAAACTAGAAAGGGTCATTCATATGAATATTCAATACTGTTGAATAATTTTGGTCCAAAATACCCTTGGCATACATAAGGTGTATATTAACTTCCAGGGAGGATTATTCCTTTGCAATTCCATGTGTTTTAATTTAGTATGTTCATTTATCTAATGAAAAATCATTTCATATCTTCAGCAACTATTTCGGCCCTCCTTGGATATGTATGACATGATCATTCACTTGACATGGAAGCAGTCACCACGGCAACATGAAGCCTTAGAACCAGAAAATGGCCATCTTCCTTTAAACTTCTGGAAGTTTGTCCAGAAAACAACGGAGGCTGACGACAAGCTAGAACATTTCCCTGTATACGACTACGATCCTCCAACATTGTACTGGCAGGAACTAAAGGTGAGGATGGATTAATTAAAATAATTATCAATACTGTAGATCACTAAATTTTTGCAACACCTTATTTTTGTGAGAGAGTCATTGACTCTTGATGAGCAAGACAAAATTTTCACGAATTGTGATTATTCCTCTATATAATTCTAAGGAATCGTAAGAACAGAAAATGAAGTTCTCGTGAATAAAAAAATGATTTACACTACCAAGGGGAAAAAAATCTCTGCATTCAGCACAAGAGTCAACTTAACATGTAGATTTGTACCTGTAAAATCTTGTGTCAGACCTGAGATATCACTTACCTAAACTTGAATCATGTGATACTGGGCTGACATAATTTATATATATGTATTTTACTGAAGCAGATTCCAAAGAATTAAAAACACTAGCATTGATTTACCATATTGAAATTCATTTGGATTGATCTCTCATGTTACTTAAGAAAATATTTAATAGAAATTTATAGCATGGTATGGTATCAGTAACACATTTTGAGATTCCTTGCAGTTTCTCATAACATATAAATTAGACCTGTACATTTTGTGAAGGTTATCTGATTATTTATTACAGGAGATGTACGGAGACTATGCCCTGTTTTTCTACGACAAATATGGAGGGAAGTACATTGCCGTGTTATGGAAGCCAGCCGCCTTCACTCCTAAAGATTTCAAGGTCAGCATAAACTATCATTGTTCAGATGAAGAAAAAATAAGCTTTGGATTTTTACCAAACTGGTAAACATAACCTAGCAAGTTTGTTGACCCTGACAGATCCTGTGGAACAGGATAAAGTACAAGTGGCTTGTGCAGGACAAAGTATCAGTGACCTGTACATGTATATGTAGAAATGTATAAATGTAGTTACAATGTAGACTTTGATCCTAACTAATACTTCTGCAGTACATATAGATTTAGCAGTACACAATTAGAATTTGTAAATGTAGAAATGTTTTGTTAGACTTTGATCCTAACTAATACGACCTAGATTTAGCAGTACACCATTAGACTCGGAGTGACTGTTGATCCTTATGATTCTGTTACCATGGTTACAGGTGTCACACCTAGCTGGGAGGAAAGTCCAGACAACACATGGTGGAGCTAGAGAAATAACGGTGGTTCCTAATGTGGAGGCCATGATTGATGACTTTAGAATTCTGGGAAGAGGCCTCGTGTCAAACATTCACCTTAATAACGGAGACTCTTAGTTACGATCATTTGGATAACATTTAATAACGTGAACTCCATTTGAATTCACTACATTTGCATAGAGCCATTCATCAATGTATTCAAGTTGCGGGTCATTAAATTCTTAAACTTCTGTGCTGTTATTTTTATGTTGGACAGCAGTAGAAAATCGGAGTAAAAATGTTGAGTTCAGAAAGATTTTATTCCAAGATCAGAATTCTACATTCTTCTGATCATCATGATTGTATCAAGTATAAAACAACAAGGTCAAATTAAAACAGCTCAAAAAATAAAATCATTAAAAAATCATAATGACTGATCTCAGGATACTATGAGTGAACCTGTGTTTAGTTATCACACTCAAAAACAATAACATGCAAAATGACTCAATAATATTCATTGCAACAATCTTCAATGTAATCAATCTTATCAAAAATCAAAAGATATTCTCTAATCAGAGAAATATTTCTGAACTCTCAACTTTTGCTTTGCAAAATTGTCATGGAGTTCAACAAAACAAGGTTTAAAGCTGCAAATAGGGTAATGATATGACACTGATATCATACAGAAGGGATAAAAGGACCCCCTAATACAGGTTTCAGTTGAAAAGGATGAAGTTAATGAGGCCCGGTTCACAGTTTTTAACTATGACACAAATCAGCTCTGGTTAGATGTTTTACATGTGTACATCAAGTCTTAAATGAAGAAATTCTTCACGGAAGGTTAATCTTCAATTTTGATATTCTCCTACCCTTTATCATCCTATAAGACAATAACTGACACAAATTTAACTGACACATTGACATTTCGAGACAAACAGGGAACATATGACTACTAAACTACTCAATGTACTAAAAATATAACACTGCACTGTGAACATTTCATATGGGACTATAAACAACAGTTAACATTCTTTCCAATGTTCAACAAACATATGCACTGTATGCACAACAGCATAACTTGTAAAGCACGGTCATTTTACATGAGTCTTGTTTATCCTGTTTGTATTGTCAAGTCTAAGTCAAACAATCGTTAAAGTATGGTCCTTTTTTTATCCTGAGTTTCACAGATCCTGCCTGTGTTGATGATTCTGAGTTTGTGTAATTTCCTGAGTGTCTTGGTTCACCTCCGTTTTCTGTGATGTAATGTTATCTATGGATGTATTAAGAGGACCAGTGTTTTCAGTGTTTTCAATGAGTTTATTAACTGTCTCTTCCTCGACAGTTTCTATAACGACATTTGGAGGGAGGGGGATCGCTGGGGTTTTGGGTGGAACTTCCCAGGGTGGGCCAGGTTTTATTGTAAGACCGTAAGGGTCTGTATCAATATCCTGCATTTCGTCTGGTGAGTGAAGGAGACTTCTGGATTTTCCTGCAATAAGAGAATGTTGGCATCAAAATTCAGAACACAAGAATTCTTTTCTGTTGTCTGGGCCTCTACATTGTATGCACAATTGTCATTGAACAAGGGGTTTAAGTGTCAATCCAAAAATAAAAATAGTTTGCCTAAAATTTAAAGTTCTTCCAATATTAGAATTCTTTTTCCTCAGTTTTGAAGTTAAAATTCATTGAAAGTTTTAAGTAAAGATTTATCTAGTAACATTCACTTTCAGAAAAAAAATTAGTTCTTACCAGGAATGGGGATGGATTTTGGGTCTGAGAGTTTATCCTTCTTGATTCCGAATGGGTCGATGTTTGGGACGATGAGGAATGCGAAGGACATCACCAGGACGACCAGACAGGTGCTAGCCTGGGGTTTACTGGTCTTAGACAGAAATAGAGCCTGGAGCTTCTTCAGCTGCTGTACCAATTGTCTAAAAAGAAAACAGAAAAGGCTTATAGACAGGTCTGCCTCAATGAAATGTCTGATGTAAAGTCATTTAAAGTTTCCCTCTTTTTTTGTATGACTACATGACATAGACATCAATTTGAACAGAACAGTTATGATTCAGAAAAAAGTTTGTTTTTTAGTTTGAGTATTTTGTTTGTTTGTTGGAATTAATTTTAGTCTCTGAGTTGTTGGTATGTCTGTTGGTATTTTAGTCTGTTGATATTAGTTGGTATACTTACGAGTTTTGTTTCTCCAGTGTGTCTACTTTCTTTTTGAGCTGGTTGTTCTCCGTTGTGGACAGTTTGACTCTCTTCTCCAGCCCCTCCACATACGTCATCTTCCTCTTACGACTCTCTTTGGCTGAGGCCTACAAGGTCAAGGACAGAAATGGAAATAACACATACCAAACTCCTATACAGCAAAACTCGTTCAGTACAAACACAGATATTGCGAATTTATGGATATAGTGAAGTCATCTGGGATCCCCAGCTATATAGATTTAATGAATTTCTTATAGTATCATAATGAATTACGGATGTAGCAAATTAATTTCATAGATCCCAGTGACTTTGTAATAACTGGAGTTTTGCTGTATATTGAGCAAAAGAAATTATTTCATTTGTCCCATAAGCATATAAGGACATGATTTACAAATTTTGTATAAGTGTTACAAACATGTCATGGTGATACAGGATTTGACCCTCTGTGACCAGGATGTATATAACACTGACCTTGTTTCTTATTTTCCGTCGGACGGCTTTGAGGACTCTCTCCTCCTCCTTGGTGAGGGGCATGTTGGTGGGGAGGGTCACCCCCTCCTTGTATAACAATTCCCGCTCCTCATCTGTCAGCTGCAGCTCGGGGAACTAATAAACAAAGACAATAATGTAAACACATGGGAGTTATACTTACAAAGGACAATAAAAATATAGAGAGACATTTTATTATATATTTTCAGTTGGGTCAATTAGCATAATTACAACTTTCATTGTCAAGGACAGCGTAGTTGAAAATACAGCTTGATTTTTCTAATTTTTGCATATCTTATATATGTATATACATGTATTACTTATTATAAATGAATGGTGTCATTTGAGCATACACCACTGGTTCTCTTTAACCTCATCAAGCTTGGTTATTAGACCAGCTGTTGTCTCTATAACTTAGCTTGAAATCAATAAGTACACTACAACACTGATATGAGAACAAGATTTAGAGCCCCACCTTTCAAATCTAACTTCATCAGGCTTGGTTATTATACCAGCTGTTGTTACTATAACTTTGTATAAGCTAGATTAAATCAATAACACTGATATGAGAACAAGATTTTAAGCCCCACCTTTGATGAGGAGCTGACACATGATACATCTTTCATGGTGAAGGGCAGGGTATCACTCTTGGTGGTGCACACTTTGATGATTTTGGTCATTTTTGTTGAGCTCCCCATGGGGGTTTGGCTGGAACTCGTGACTGTATCCTCCATTAAGTCTGTGTCCATTACATTGATTGTCACATCCGAGTCCTGAGTTCCGTCACCGAGAGATAAAAAGTCTGTATCTCCCAAAAAGGCACCAGCATCAATGGTGCTCATGTCAAAGTTTTTGAAGTCAAAATTCTCCAGAGTAATGGGGGTGGTATCACCAAGATTTTCATTGGCTGAATTGATTTGAATGTCAAGATTTGATTGGCTGCGAGGTGACCCTGAGAGGGAGCTTTCCCTGGGGCTGTGTTGGAGTTCGTCCGTCATGCTGTGGGGGGAGTAGGCACCATTACTGGAGATACCACTGTCACTGCCGGCACTCGGGGATTTCTGGGCGAAATAATCATGATCGTGCACTACATCTTGTGATTTTGTCTTTGGTGGCTCCTCCTCATCAAAGAATGTGGGAATGTGTGATTCAATGAGTGCGTTCTCAAGAATGTCAGTTTCTGGTAGGAGTCCAAGATCAGACTGTAAGAGAAATCAAGAATAATTGAATCACAAAAAATATTAAAAATGAAGGGAAACTGCCATGACATAACATGATTAATACCAATTTTTAAAAAAATTGCAAGTTTGAAAAATTTTCGATATGCACATATAATTTTCATATTTAAAGCATTTGAAGAAAGTCAAGGACTTTTTGTTTAACTATAAAGCTGACATGCCTTGACATTTTATAAAACTTACTAAAATGTCATCAGTGACATCCCAATCACTGTTTAAGAGAACATTGTCTTGGTCACTTTCACAAGCTGACAAGTTACTTTCACTGTCACTAAATGGCAAGAGAGCATTCAAATTCTGCTCAGTTGCTTCACTATCGCTATCATCCATATTATTTAGTCTATGTGTACAATTAGCCCCGGCTTTTGTTGCAGTAAGTAAACTACTACTCCTCAAAAGTTCATCTAAGAAATTATCAAGGCCGTCATTTTCACTGTGTGGGGAGATTAGGACATCAGTGAGACACGTATTAAGTAGAGCCATGTTCTCCCTACAACAGCTTGTATCAAACTGACTGGTGAAGAGTGTGTCTATGACTCATAACCTGGTATAGTGAGCCGTGTTTGTTTACTATTGGTCAGCATGCTGAGGGATTCCCTAAGATAATGCATGATGCAAGATTTTTTTCTAAACTTTAGGCTAAGGTTATCCTGAAATGTCATGGCTAATATATTCAGGCCTTATGTTAATGAAAAAAAAAATTATCCATTACCCTCTATATAATGTGAAATAACCCACTTCCCTAAACTTGATGTAAAATGCATACCAAAAATCCCAAGCAAGTAATGTTAACTTATACAATATACACTGATGTAAAAAGAAAAGGAACTCACAAAGTCTACGGTCTGTATGTCTGGTAACTCGCTTTTGAGAATTCCGCTAGATTTGTCAAACAGCAAGTCCAAGACATCTAGGTCACTCTCAACTGCCATCTTTGTTGACAACACAATTTCTATTTTTAATCATGAACACGTCTCTGAAACAAACGTGTAGGCTTCCTCGTCACTCACATCCACGTCACCCAAAAAATCCACAACAGATTCACGTGCTTTCCTCTCCTCAATAATCCTGCGAGATTGTTTGTTTATGTTCTGTTTACAATGTTGTCAGGAATTCCCCCACGGATTATAACTTACTTAAAATTATATTCCATGTCATCTATCCTTAAGAAATAAATATAATTCCACCTGTATAACAGATTTCAATGCTGTTAAAATGGTGTCAAGTTGAAAAATATCATTTTTCGTCATTGACTAGGAGCTAAAAATAGTTTGTTACAACGCCTTCCAAATGACGTGGAACCGGAAGTGGAATTAAAAGGGTTACACTAATAAACGAAGAAGGAAAAGATAAGTCTAATAACGGTAGTAGTGGTATCACGAATCTAAAATTTATTATCACATCGGATAATTTAATATTTTTGATTTTCAGTTTTTTCCTCTATCCTATGGATAAGTACTCACTTTAATACTTCTTTTTAAAAAGAAGCTAGAGGCCCATGGGTCACATTACTCACATGAACACATTCTTTTGGTGACCATCAGTTCTGAATAAAATTGCACCTATATATCTGAGGATCTTTCTAAATATTTAGTTAGATATTTTCTGTCCTAGTGGTTCTTGAGAAGATCTAGAATTTATATATTAATTATAACCAGAAGTCTCTGTCGAGACTGTAGCTCTACTGGTTTGTACTTAAATCAAAGGAAGAGAAAAGTAGCAGTTGGGACTTAAAACTTTAAAACAGCAATAAATAGAAAAATGATCCTTACTAGTGTTGGCAACGAGTACCCGGTTAACCGGTTAACCGTCGAACGTTGCGAGTATCGGTTAGTAAAACTGCTATTCGGTTACTCGGATAAAATAAATTCTACATAGTAAAGGCATAAAAAATGAATGTTTTATAATTTATAAATGTATACTAGCTTACACTTTTCCCTAGTTTTAGGTACCGTTAGACTTGATCTAGTGCATGGTTGAAGTGAATGAAATTGTTTTGATTAGTTTTCACAGTTTATATAATTGATAGCTTTGATTGCTTGGGGTATACAATATATTTTGAAGGCCTGAGTTATAATTACCTCATTTGATAATCTAAAAACGAGATGCCGCCGCAGACATAATAAGCTTGGAGTTGTAACAAAAGAACAGATGATTTTAAATCACCTAAGCTTAAATTATTCGGAAATCAGCTATTTTCTGGACACTCCACATATTAACTATTAATTATGGAGTATGTAAATAATTATTCTCCTTGATTGCGACATATTTCGGCCGGGAGCTGAAAAAGAAAGCGTAAAATAGTGATTGACGATGACACATTTTTTTGTCATCTTTGTGTGCCGAATTCCCTATTAATTTTCTTTAATTTAAAGTCGTAAATCTTTGATGATATCGTATGTGTGTATTGTAAATATAATGTCCCTATACAGTATATTTGTGCATTACTACTACCGATAAGTATAGAATAAGATAAATAATAGATATTGATACTTTTACTAAAAATCATCCGAGTAACCGGGTACTCGATCGGAAGATGAAGCGAGTAACCGGTTACTAAAAATCGTCCAATTTCCCAACACTAATCCTTACCACTCATCAAAATAAAAACCGATGTACAGAATTATGTATCTTAGTATCTAGTCTACTTGTGTGCCAAATTATATTGTAATTGGACCAAAACTATAGGAGAAAATTCTATTTTTAGCAACCATGGCAACACCGTTCATCGAAATCAAAAAACCATGCACAGAATTATGTATCTTAGTGTAGTCTACTTGTGTGCCAAGTTATATTGAAATTGGACCAAAACTGTAGGAGGAGTAGCATTTCGAAAGAATTTCACAGAAATTTCTATTTTTAGTTACCATGCAACACCGTTCATCAAAATCAAAAACCGATGCACAGAATTATGTATCTTAGTGTAGCATACTTGTGTGCCAAGTTATATTGAAATTGGACCAAAACTGTAGGAGGAGTAGCATTTTGAAAGAATTTCACAGAAATTTCTATTTTTAGTAACCACGGCAACACCGTTCATCGAAATCAAAAACTGATGCACAGAAATATGTATCTTAGGGTAGTCTACTTGTGTGCCAAGTTGTATTGAAATCGGACCAAAACTGTAGGAGGAGTAGCATTTCAGAGAATTTCACAGAAATTTCTATTTTTAGTAACCATGGCAACACCGTTCATTAAAATCAAAATCCCATGCACAGAATTATGTATATTAGTGTAGTTTACTTGTGTGCCAAGTTATATTGAAATCGGACCAAAACTGTAGGAGGAGTAGCGTTTTGAAAAATTGTTTACAGACAGACAGACAGACAGACAGACGGACGGACGACGGACGCATTACTATCGCATAAGCTCTTCTGGTCACTGACCAGTAGAGCTAAAAATGATGCCTTTAATTTTGCACTATTACATATGCAGCGGACCAGACCGGAATCAATACTGGCCCCCTTGAATCTGTGACAGTACATATATATACATACTAAGCTATCTGGCCCCCGGCCATTGAACCCAGATAACCGCCACATTCCTCCCTCCTTAATGGTCTTTGGTCCCTCAAAGACCCCTATCCAGGCTCATCCCTGGCAGGCCTCAATCTCACCTGTCAGTTCCACAGCATGACACAGCACCAAATGTAACATAAGAGGATAAAAATGCAATAGTCCAGACTGGAATTCAAACTAGTGGCCAGATAGCTCAGTTGGTAGAGCACCTGACCTGAGATTCAGGGGGCCCTAGCTAGTTTGAATCCCAGTCTGTTACCCTGCATTTTTCTGCTCTCCTAGCTGTTAAAATTACATTTGGTGCTGTGCCATGCCCTGGAACTGATAGGAGAAGCCTGCAAGGAATGAGCCTGGGTTGGGGTCTTTGAGGGTCCAAAGACCTTTAAGGAGGGAGGAATATGGCGGTCAGCTGGATTTGATCTCCAGTGGCAGGATAGCTCAGCTGGTAGAGCACCGGACCCTAAATTCATGAAGGGGTCCCGGGTTTGAATTCTAGTATGGTCTGCTGCATTTTTTCTCTTCTCCTGTTAATAAACATAATTAGCTCCCCTTAGATGAGGATGTGGCCCTTTGTTTGAACAAATTTGAATCCTCTTATACAGTGTGTATTAATATATTATATGTTGACCTTTTTCTTTTCGATGTTCCAATGAATCAGAACTGAATCTGGAAGTTGGTGCTCCAAAATTATTTTCAGATAACTTAGTTCATACCTTGTTAATTATAAATCTTTTAAAAAATACAAAAGAAGCATTAATGAATAATAATTCATGAATAACATGAGATCGGGCAAAATAATAAAAATTTACTATGCATCATGTCTGAATATAAAAAAATGATACACTTATAGAATTGCTGGATTCCTTTATTGTTCGTCGTTGCCCTTCTCAATAAAAATTGAGACCAACAGAAAATACATGTACCCGTTATAAAGTATAACAAAAAAGAAATTATTATTCAAACCTTTATCCAATACTGATTACTAATGAGCACCAAAATGTTTCTGATGAATACTAATTATTTTATCGTTAATGTTGTTGAAGTATTTTAATTTAACAGTCCAGTCCTTTGCTCTTTGATTATCGTTATCGCTGAAAGCTTTAGATATTTCCATCACACATTTCTTCATGTTGGCATCATTTGACATCTGGATGGGCTGGAGTGAGTCAGGCGTGTCGGCGTCCATTATCTCTTCGTTTATCTCCATGACCTCCATCAGGAAGCCCTGGTCCACGCTGGTGTTGTCCTCCTCGATCGGGACCCCCCGCCTCTCCAGCAGGTACAGGGCCCGGGGGAGGGGCTTCAGCAGGGTGAAGTAAGCCTTGTTCACGTAAGACGACTGCTCCTCTGCTATCTGTTTTTCTTTCTGCAATGTTAGCATTTTAAAAAATAAAACATACAATGTATTTCAAGATTTAAAATAAAAATGATATAGTACATCATAAGCATACATACTTGTTTACCTTAACATACAGTATTAAAAACACTTGGAGGGTATCACAAAGGCCCCCCCCCCTTACTTTGCGAAGGTGAGCTAAAAATGCTGCCATGTTTCAATATGAAAATTGAGGATAAAGCAAGCATAAAATAACAACTTCCTAAAGATCCCTGAAGCTTTAAACCTATCAGATCCATAAAACAGTAGTAAAGATCCTACTGAAGACTGTCTTATACTCTTATCATTAAACTTTAAGATGATCTACCACTAGTATAGATCCTACTATAGACTGCCTTATACTCCTAACATTAAAGATGATCTACCACTAAGAATGATCCTACTGAAGACTGCCTTATACTCCTAACATTAAAGATGATCTACCACTAGTATAGATCCTACTAGAGACTGTCCTATACTCCTAACATTTAAGATGATCTACCACTAGGAATGTTCCAATCAGAGACTGCCTTATTCTCCTAACATTAAAGATGATCTACCACTAGGAATGATCCTACTGAAGACTGCCTTATACTCCTAACATTAAAGATGATTTACCACTAGGAATGATCCTACTGAAGACTGCCTTGTACTCCTAACATTAAAAATTATCTACCACTAAGAATGATCCTACTATAACTGTCCTATACTCCTAACATTGAAGATGATCTACCACTAGGAATGATCCTACTGTAGACTGCCTTCTAATCCTATCATTAAAGATGATCTACCATTAGGAATGATCCTACTGTAGACTGCCTTATACTCCTTAACCTTAAAGATGATCTACCACTAAGAATGATCCTACTGGAGACTGCCTTCTAATCCTATCATTAAAGATGATCTACCATTAGGAATGATCCTACTGTAGACTGCCTTATGCTCCTAACATTAAAGATGATCTACCACTAGGAATGATCCTACTGAAGACTGCCTTATACTCCTAACATTAAAGATGATCTACTACTACAAGAAGGATATGGAGATAACGAACAGTATTCAATCTCAAAGTCCATAAAACATTACAAAATTAGAGCAGAGCAAACAGGACCCCGAAACATCAGAGGCGGGATCATGTGCCATGGAGGAGTGAGCATTCCCTGCTGACCTGTCACACCCGCTGTGTGCTACTTGTCATGATCAGGAAATAACGGAAAAAATCCAAATGATCTTATGGAAGATTGCCCAATACTCTCCTGTCATCAAAGAGAACTCTGCTTTTGGTTAGGGGCCTTGATTATGACATGTTTTAAACATTCTATCTAAACTATACATCTTCATGTTAATATGTCCAAGTATCAAATTAAATGTATTAATTATAATTTTGTAATTTTTGTGATGGTTGTTACCAGTGAAATGGTTGAGGGAGTTACCTCCCGTTACTTATGTATATAATAATAGATAATCAATGTAAATATTGTAATTAATTGGTCAATTGACAAAAGAATTATACAAGTATTATTAATGAATGATGTTGTGTTAGAAAATAATAGTTGCATTGCCAAAAGAAAGGCAGTTTGTTGTATTTTGCTAATATAATATCTGAAAACTTATGATTATTGATCAAGTTGTAATACAAAGGGTTGTACAACCAACTGTCCGTTGTCTACTGTTAAGTACGCAATTTGGTGTATGCGAATTGGAAAGTTACTACGTAGCGTGTGCAATTTGACGAATAGTAATTGCTGCAAAGTCGCTGAAGTCTCTGACTTGATTGTTGCTGAGAGTAACATAGGATACTTTGTTACCAGTATAGCTATATATCGTGTAAGTGTGTTAAAGCCACTTGGCTGGATCATAGACAACTTGGTTAGCAATTGACACCAGGCAGGTGTCATCAGATAAGGGCTATGGTCAGGAGACACCAGGCAGGTGTCTGTTGACTCGTTTAGTTAGTTGTACATTCAGGCAACTGTCATAAGGCACCAGGCAGGTGCCAGTATTACTATATATATATTACAAAACGGCAGTTAGGTCACTTATTTAAAGACACTAGGCAAGTGTCATATTATCTGTATATTTTGCATTTAATCATACCCCCAGTAAAACTCGGTAATCCGAGCACGGACCTACTGACCGCTCAGGTCCGACACGTTACAAAAGTGGTGGCAGCGTCGGGATTTTACTGGAGGTATGGCTGAACGTAATAAGTCAATTGAAGATAGTCTAAGGGAATCCTTAGATAGAATGGAAGAGAAGCTAAAGAGGTATCGCCTTGACCAGTCGACACCTATTACTAGGGGACATGACCAAGTGACAAGCCGTGACAGTGGGCTTGCAACTCATCGGTCAGATGACTCATTTTATTATGACAGAACATTGAGAGACATCCCAGAAAATAGATCACAAGGAAAGAAAAGTACAATGAGCCATTGGGATAAACAAACAGACATGATAAGGGACACACCATCCAGACGTCCATATGATGGAACAAAACCGAAAGTCCGATTTGCCGATGAACGCCATGTTGCAGAGAAACAGTATGACAGCTGGTCATCAGACAACTTGGCTGAAAGGACATATGCGCGACAGCAATCCCCTGATCCATATGTCCCTGAAAAATATCGTCAGACAGAAAGAGACGATAGAGAGAGAAAGCTCACAGTCAAGCCAGCTACATACGATGGTTCAAGCTCTTGGCTGGACTACAAGTGTCACTTTGAGGCTTGTGCCAATGTGAATGGTTGGAATGAAGAGAAGAAAGGATTGTTTCTAGCCTTATCACTACGTGGCCAAGCTCAGGCTGTCCTTGGCGATTTACCAACTGACAGAGGCCAACATTATGAGACACTTGTAAAGTCTCTGAGAGAAAGGTTTTCTCCTCCAAACCAAACTGACCTATACCGGGTACAACTTAAAGAGAGGAGACAAAAATCAACAGAGACACTCTCTGAATTAGGCCAGAGTATCAGACGGTTGACCAACTTGGCTTATCCAACTGCGCCAGGTGAAGTTCGTGAGACACTGGCGAAGGATCAATTCATAGATGCTTTGATAGATTCTGATATCCGCATAAGAATCAAGCAGTCACGCCCTGCCAATTTGAATGAAGCAATTAGCCTTGCTGTGGAACTGGAGGCATACAACAGAGTAGAGAAGAGAGACAGAGAACTCAAAGGTCATTTGAGAGCAGCTTTTGTTGAAGAACAACCTGACACTGACAAATGTAATAGCGGCCAACTTGCTAATTGGATGAAATCTGTTGAGGAGAACATGAAAAGTATAACTGAAGAGCTCAGGGAGCTTAAGGTCTCTAACCAGAGAGCACCTTATGACAACAGGTACAAAGGCGGAGGGGCAAGTGGTAGAAAGCAGGAGATAAGATGCTATGAATGCAAAAAGCCAGGACACATCAGGCGTAACTGCCCTCAGTTGAAGAGAAGGCAAAAGCAGTCAGATGACAGGTCTGGTAAAGAATCTATGAAACAGGACAACGGAGATGGGAAAAGAGCATCAGAGCCACAGGTGTCCGTAGGCCTCGGTTCATCTATAGAGGAGTGTGGGTTGTACATAGATGTAAATGTTCAAGGGGTAAAAGCTAAGTTTCTAGTAGACACTGGCGCTACTGTTACCCTTGTTTCTGACACGTTGTACAAGAAGTTGCCAGCATCTGTGAGACCGAAGTTACATGAGGTAAATCAGACCATCATGTCGGCCAATGGTACTGCTCTGTCTGTTCATGGGAAAGCAGAATTCAATATTGGTATTGACCAGTTGACATACCACAATGATGCAGTAGTTGCTAACTTAAAGGCAGATGGCATATTGGGCCTAGACTTTATGAAAAGAAATCACTGCAAAGTCGATATTAGCAACGAAGTTCTGGATGTCAATGGTCATGCTAAGAGAATGAAAATTGAAGGTTCACTTGGATGTTTTAGAATTACAGCAGCTAAGACAGTTAGCATTCCGCCCAGGAGTGAGATAATTGTACCTGGTAAAGTATGCGTTCCAGAGGGTTTAAGTCTGCCATACTGTGAGAGTATCATTGAACCAGTTGACAAGTACAACAAACAACAGAGCACACTTACTGCGAGAACGGTGGTAAAGCCCCAAGAAACTGTGCCAGTTAGACTAATGAATATTGAACAGGAGTCAAAGGTGGTGCACTCTGGGACAGTCATTGGACAACTTGCTGAGATAGACACAGTGAAAGACACAGTGATAAATACGACATCGACAGCTACCAGAGTGCTGCGCAAGGATCTAGCTGATCTACTTCATAAGAGTAAGGACAACATGACTCCTACACAGTTCAAGCAGGCAGAAGACTTTCTGTTAAAGTATACCAGCTTGTTTGCAGAAAACAGCTTGGACTTTGGCAGGACTGGAATAGTCAAGCATCATATCGACACAGGTGACAATAGACCTATTAAACAAAGACCACGAAGGGTACCAGCTCACCTGACAGATGAAGTGGACAAAAACATAGACGACATGCTTGAAAAAGGTGTCATACAGCCTTCCAACAGTCCATGGTCCTCACCAATAGTGTTGGTCAGGAAGAAAGACGGGACGTATAGGTTCTGTGTTGACTATCGTCGCCTTAACAGTTGCACTATACAAGATGCATACCCTCTCCCGAGGATTGACGAGTCACTTGACCAGTTGTCTGGGTCGAATTGGTTTTCCACACTCGACCTCTGCTCAGGCTACTGGCAAGTTGAAATGGCCTCTGCAGACAAACCAAAGACCGCTTTTACCTCAAGACGAGGATTGTTCGAATTCAACGTTATGCCGTTTGGCTTGAGTTGTGCTCTGGCAACTTTCGAACGCCTCATGGAGAGCGTCCTTGCCGGATTGCAATGGGACATTTGTATGATATACCTAGACGACATAATTGTCACTGGGAAAACATTTGAACAAATGCTTGACAATTTGGAAAGAGTCTTTGAAAGGCTGAGAACTGCCAATCTAAAGCTTAAGGCCAAGAAGTGTTGTCTCTTTGCACGAAAAGTGACATATCTCGGACATGTTGTTTCGGAGCAAGGGGTATCCACAGACCCAAACAAAATAGCAGTTGTCAAAGAGTGGCCAATTCCTGCTAATGTCACAGAGCTTAGGTCATTTTTGGGCTTGTGTGGATACTATCGGAGATTTATCCAAAACTTCTCTGCCATTGCCAAGTGTCTGCATGCTCTAACAGAGAAGGGGAAACCATTTGCATGGACATCGGAGTGCCAAGAGGCATTTGATTGCCTGAAAAACCATTTGGTTCAGTCCCCAGTGCTAGCCCATCCGGATTTTACTGTTCCATTCATATTAGACACAGATGCTAGTGACCAAGCGATTGGGGCAGTACTATCACAGAATGTAGATGGCAAGGAGCATGTCATAGCCTATGCCAGTAGGACACTAACGAAATGTGAACGCAGATACTGCGTGACGAGAAAAGAACTTTTAGCTGTCGTACATTTCGTTAAGCATTTTAAACACTACCTTTATGGCAAAGAGTTCTTGATTCGCAGTGATCATGGTTCATTAAGGTGGCTGTTCAAGTTCAAAAACCCCGAGGGTCAGCTGGCCAGATGGTTAGAGACCCTGAGCACCTACAAGTTTCAAATCCAACATCGACCTGGCATACAGCATAGAAATGCTGACGCCTTGAGCAGAGTGCCTTGTCGACAATGTGGCTATGACCCTGATTGGGAGAAATCAGCACCAGATGATAAGAGCGTTCAGGATGCAAAGACAGTGACACATATCAATGCAGCTCTTCCCGTCAGCCCAGGCACAGAGCCTTGTCACAAGATGCAAGAACTTCAAGACAAAGACAGGGACCTAAAACTAGTGAAAGGCTGGCTGCAAACAAAGAGTCGACCTTTGTACCATGAAATAAGTGGACTTGGGTGTGTCATAAGATCCCTTTGGTCACAATGGGAAAGCCTTTCCATTGAGAATGACATCTTGTACAGGAGGTACCAAGAGGACAGTGGCAAGCCATCTTGCTTACAGGCAATAGTACCCAGCAGTGAACGTAGGACAGTATTACAATACTGTCATGATATTGAAACAGCTGCTCACTTAGGTGTGACTAAGACACTGGCACGCATCCGACAAAAGTACTATTGGCCAGGTCTTCAGGCAGACACAAGAGCCTACATTGCAGGCTGTGAGAAGTGCTCAAAGAGAAAGAGTCCTCAGAAGAAAAAGAGAGCACCCATGACAATTGTCGAGAGTGGAATGCCTATGGACAGAATAGCTACCGATATCCTCGGTGAACTGCCCATGACTGATAATGGCAACAAGTACATCCTTGTTATATCCGACTATTTCACCAAATGGACGGAAAGCTTCCCAATGCCAAACATGGAGGCTGCAACAGTTGCCAAGATCTTAGTCGAGGAGGTAGTATCGCGATTTGGTGTTCCTTCCAGTATACATTCAGACCAAGGACGCCAGTATGAGAGTGAGCTCTTTTCAGAGGTATGCCATGTCCTGCACATAAAGAAGACTCGCACATCGCCTTACCATCCCCAGAGCGATGGCATGGTCGAGCGCTTCAATAAGACCCTTGTCACTATGCTAAGCGCCTTTGTCAACGAGCACCACTCAGACTGGGATAGATATTTGCCTTACGTCATGATGGCGTATCGAGCATCTGTGCACGAAACGACTGGGTTCACTCCAAACTACATGATGCTTGGACGGGAGGTATCAACCCCACTTGACATTATGTACGATATGCCCAATGCAGTCAAATACATCCCTAGTAACCAGTGGGCTTGGCATCTCAAGGAGACTATGGAAGATGCCCATAGACATGTAAGGGAAAATATAAAAGCGGCTATGATCAGGCAAAAGCGATATCATGACCAGAAGTTATCCTGGCAGCAGTTTAAAAAGGGTGACGAAGTATATGTCTTTTTCCCTGTCCGGAAAGCGGGATTGTCGCCGAAGTTTACAAGCTACTGGCGTGGTCCATACGAGGTCCTTGACAAAATGACCGACATTATCTACAAGGTAAACTGTGGACCAAGGGGCAAGCCACAAATTGTGCATGTGGACAGATTGCGCCTCAAACGTAGTCAGACGTTAAGAGATGGGGTTGTGGAGGACAATAGTTCTCAGGAAGACACTGGTCAAGACACAGAGAGGAGTGTCATTGACAATGAAAGAAATGACATAGAAGCACCTCCAAGTAGTGACGACTTGGTTGTTAATGAAGGTGGGGGTAGAATCAGAAAACCACCTACCTGGTTGCAAGACTATGTGTTAGATTAAGTGAACTGCTGGTGAACAAATGTAAATACTTTACCATTTTGTCACTTATTTTGCAATGTTGTAAATGTCATGCGGGACGCATGTTCTTAAGGGGAGGGAAGTGAAATGGTTGAGGGAGTTACCTCCCGTTACTTATGTATATAATAGTAGATAATCAATGTAAATATTGTAATTAATTGGTCAATTGACAAAAGAATTATACAAGTATTATTAATGAATGATGTTGTGTTAGAAAATAATAGTTGCATTGCCAAAAGGAAGGCAGTTTGTTGTATTTTGCTAATATAATATCTGAAAACTTATGATTATTGATCAAGTTGTAATACAAAGGGTTGTACAACCAACTGTCCGTTGTCTACTGTTAAGTACGCAATTTGGTGTATGCAAATTGGAAAGTTACTACGTAGCGTGTGCAATTTGACGAATAGTAATTGCTGCAAAGTCGCTGAAGTCTCTGACTTGATTTTTTGCTGAGAGTAACAGGATACTTTGTTACCAGTATAGCTATATATCGTGTAAGTGTGTTAAAGCCACTTGGCTGGATCATAGACAACTTGGTTAGCAATTGACACCAGGCAGGTGTCATCAGATAAGGGCTATGGTCAGGAGACACCAGGCAGGTGTCTGTTGACTCGTTTAGTTAGTTGTACATTCAGGCAACTGTCATAAGGCACCAGGCAGGTGCCAGTATTACTATATATATATTACAAAACGGCAGTTAGGTCACTTGATTTAAAGACACTAGGCAAGTGTCATATTATCTGTATATTTTGCATTTAATCATACCCCCAGTAAAACTCGGTAATCCGAGCACGGACCTACTGACCGCTCAGGTCCGACACGTTACACCTTCTCACCTCGCTTTTCAGGCTATACTTGTCTGGGTGGAGCTGTCTCTGTAGATCTCGATATCTCTGTGTCAGCGACTTTGTGTCAATGTCAAATGATTCGGGATACCCCATCAATTCAAAGAAATTCAGCCCCTTTACCTCCTGCACAACTCCACATTTACAAAAGAGAAGCTCCTCATTATTGTCAACCTTATTCCCACACTTCCAACAAGTTCTGTCCGAGTTTGATGAAAAGTACCTTGTTCTGAAAATATTTTTGGACAAAGTGAAAGTACGGTTTCTGCACAATGTAAATATAGAATTGACTGTAAATAATGGTCTGTGCCCCAAAAAGTCCGTTGATAGTTTCCTGGTATTTTTGACAAATGGATTGATCTGGCCGTGATTAGATTGAAGTTCAATAAACCACGGAAAGCATCTATTACGCAGATTTGTTGTAAGCCAAGATCTGAAGGGCGCTGCCATTTTTCTGATTCATTCGAGCATTCTCTAGAGTTACCTTACTAAGCACAGCTAGATCTCAGAAAGTATCCGAATGTACTTTCAATTTCACAAACGACAATAAAGCGTGCTGCATGCTAGAGTGTGTTTACAGAATTTTATGACTTTTTAGGTTCATGTAGATAAAATCTACAACAATTGCACAGGTAAAACAAAGATCAGAGAAATGTGAAATTATCTTACTCAACTCTATCATAAAACCCGAGATACTGATGTATATTTTAGCATCTTTACAAACAGATTAAGAATTTTTGTTTCTTTTCATTATTTTAAAACCGATTACGCGAATGATAATGTCAAAGAACATTAAATATTGGTATTTTTGAATAATTTGATAGTTTCAAGTGAATTGACACATTTTAATTTTCTAATGAATACTTTGGATGTTAAGGAGAAGAATAGATTTGCAGCAATTTTGAAATGACCCAGTGAATTTCTACTAAAGACATTGTGTTTTTTATTTACAATTTAAAACTTTTTTGCAGCCATGAGTAGAAAACAGACCCCCAGTGAGTTTCTGAAACAGATTATTGGACGCCCCGTTGTGGTCAAGTTAAACTCTGGTGTGGACTACAGAGGTATGTATCTGTCCAGTGAAATCTGGTATAACAAGGTTCCTGTATATGTGTTTGTAATGGTTAGGGTCATGGATCAGGATATCAGCGTGGGTACCTCAGTCAGTAGGTTGAGTAGCTGTGAGATGAATGGTGCAGGGGTCAGGGTTCAAATTCTGGACAAACGAGTCCAGCCACACATTTTCTCCACAGGCATCTGACGTTACTTACTTTTCTCATATAAAAAATTAACCCGATACCTAGAAATAAGCATGGGCTTCATTTAAAAAATATATATATTTTTTTAAAGAGAGTCTTCGAGGAAATCTAGAAGTAGTCTCTTTCTGTACTTACTAGGTGTTTTGGCGTGTCTGGATGGCTACATGAACATTGCCCTAGAACAGACAGAAGAGTACGTTAATGGACAGCTAAAGAATAAGTACGGGGATGCCTTCATCAGAGGCAATAATGGTAAGTAAAGCACACATTATATATTACTTTTAATATTAAGTCAGTCATTGGAGACAAGAATAGATATTAAAATCAATCTAGAGAATTTGATGAAGGAAAATCAGACCTCAGTAGTAAGATACCAGGCACAAGTTGACAATACCCAGCAAAAGATGCAATAACTGTCAAACAGTTGACAACATCAAAAACAATAACAGTCAGATGTCTTATTTAATCCACAATGTGAAAATGATGATAACAAAATCAAAAGTCTCTTGAAACAATGATAAAAGGTAGTAGAGAAAATACAGACCTTTAGAAACATCAGGCCTGGGGGCCATAAAACTTAGACGAGCTCACTTTTGATCTCAGTCTCACTTTTCCACTATATATTCCTTTGGAAAAAGTGAGACTGAGATCAAAAGTGAGCTTGTCTAAGTTTTATGGCCCCCAGGCCAGAGGCTGAATCAGGTGCCATTAAAGATCAAATGTTATTTTAAGCTTTATATAAATATCTTTTGCTAATTCCAAAAGAGTACCCTCAGGGAAGTAAGTTACAAGAATAATTCACAAAAATAATCAAAGGTAATTAAACAGACATACTCTTCAATACAATTAGACTTTTCATTATATGTTATCATATCAAACAAAACCCACAGGATTCTTTAGGGGAACTTAACTTAGACTGACCCCTTGCAATACAAGGGTTATCCGTGGTTTCATGTGTAATTTTATTATTATTAATTTTTTTGTCTTCAGTTCTCTACATCAGTACACAGAAAAGAAGGATCTGAATGGATATATACACGACTCTACAGTACAGAAACGTACCTTGTGTAACAACAAAGAAAATCATGTGTTCAATCCAGAATTGATGCATCATCAACTTGTTAGTTATTGAGAATATCATTTGTTGTTGGTTGAAAGTTTCATTTTCATGCCATTAAAATTTAGTTCATTGTCATAGTTCTAATAAATATTAATGTCATTTCAATTTTCTGTTTTGAATAATATTGAATAGATACACAAAAATATGATTAAAGAGTGGGATCAAAGCTCAGTAAGGTCAAATTCATTTGTTGAATAATGACCATAACATCTTTATAAGTAAGGGGGGGGTCATGAGGGTTTTATGCAAACAAATTTTAATCTGCATAATTTATCATATTTTGATAATTCTGTTTAAAGTTGATTTTATTATTTAAGGGAGCAAGATATAAATCAGTGAGAGAACCGGGGGTGGGAGGGGGGGGGGGTTGGAGAGAGAATTTATCAGTCTCCAGTGGCCAGAAAGTTCAGTTGGAAGAGCACCTGACTAATCATTCAGGAACATGGGTTCAAACCCTGGTGTTATTCATTGCATTTCCTCCCTTTCTATTACCTTGGTGCAGAGCAATGCACCACAGGCCTGCATAGGCATCAGAAGCATATTGAAAGGGGGAGGGACTTATTGAATGGTGGGGGGAGGGGGGGGGCAAATATGTTGGCTCAATTTTCAATGCCTATAATGTTTAAATACATACTCTGCAATATAAGTGTATTTGTGTGTGTGTGGGGGGGGGGGGTAAGTATTCTGACGCCTATGGCCTGTAGGGAGAAATTTAATTTGGAGGGGGACCACAAAACATTTCCAGGGTTTATTGGGGGGGGGGCACTACCAAAGATTCAAATTTCCTTGACAAGTAAAAAAAAAAAAGGCATCAGATGTTGTTATTATAATTGACGGACACAATCATATATTAACTATGTTTTTTATCTATATATCGGCAAGATTATTTTTCGAAGGGGGGGGGGTCCTACGGCCATGCACTGACAGGTAAAATATATACCAAAAAAGAGCCTGGGTTGGAGTCTACGAGAGCGAAAAGATTAAAGGAGGGTGTGTGGCCGTCAGATATATTTGGTCGAAAGGTTAAAATGTGATTTTTTTTTATTTTGAAGTTTAGGGAACACTTTCATTTGAATCACTCTACCATGTAGGTAAGGCTATTTTTATTTATTTATTTATTTATTTTGTGCTTCTTGTGACTTTAAAATTTCCCTTCCCGTCATGTGAGTATTTTAGGACATATTCTCTTGAGAGAAGTGGACACGGCTACCGTCCCCTTCTCTGAAAGGAAACTTACTAGGTAGAACAGACCAGTAAACTCGACAGGTATAATTTGATAATTTAGAAACTTAAAATATCTCATGTGCGCCTGTCAATCTAACTGGTGTAAAGGACCTTGTAAGAGAACACCCTTTTCTGTAACCAATAAAAACGTTTCATTAATGACGTATGTATTATAATATATTCTGTTGTTATAGAATTATCGACTCAAAGTACAAACTTTGTCTATCTTAATTCAGACCTGGATATAACCAGCTGACATGGGTAATATTGTTTTAAAGGAGATTGAATGGTAGGTATATTATTTGTTAAATTAAATACCCGGTACTAGTATAGCTAAATTATATATGCATTTAAGTGGAAAATTCTGACTTACAACGCATACAGGAAAAAAATCTTTCAACTTTCGCTTTGTTTGTCAGTAAACTGTAAATGGAATTTTTTGAATTATAAGCTGATTGTGTTTTTTGGTATATGCATGCGTACATTTATTTCAATATTTTTATATATTTGCTGTTATTCTTAACCTTGATTTCAGTGTTCAATATTTAATATTCTTGCATTGGTTCTCATAATGTCCTATACCGTGACCCAGAGAGAGAGAGAGAGAGTAACTTTCTGAACAAACTTTTGGTAATCTAATGTTTGGCAAACAGCATTTTTGGGGGTCTTTTTTTTCTCGCACGTCTGCTGAGCTGCACTTATATCCGCGACAAAACTATGTTTCTAAATTTTAAATGTTTAAAGGTTTCAAATATCCTCAACTTTCGTTATTCCTTTTTTCTCGGAATAAGCTGGTAGATATATGATTTTCAAAAAATGTTTAATACATTGTACAGAAAAGTCTCTAGGCATTTAAATTTTCTCGCTGATGTATGTCTATCTGCGCATGAAAGGACATAAATGTTGCACTGCACGACCGTACATGATCACATGCTATAATTAATTAAAACAAGG